AAACACAAAGAGAACGCCCCTTAAGTGCCTCATGAGGCTCGTGTTCATCTTCATCATGCAACAAACATTCTGGGTTCAACATCACACGGGGTATAAACATAATGCCACAACCCAAACTCATCCTTTATTTACATAATAAAGTGGTCTGCATCTGTACAAGTGTCACAAATCTTTAGAAAATGCCTTCTAAATGCGTACAAAAATAGTTTCGCTATTAGCCCGAAAACTAGACCAACCAAATGCAAAACTAGTAAATCATCAGATGGAAGCAAGCCTGCTAATTCCTGGAACTTCTGTTTGCAATGAAGACATCACCTCGTCATACTTGGAAGCATATACAAAGCCCCATAGCTGCATAGAAAACAAGACATAAACAACTTTAATCATCGTAGTAAAGGAAAATTCTTGTCCAAAATCTCCTATAAATACCTCACTTTTATAGAAGTGATGATGCCACGACGTGTGTGAGATAGATGTGCACGTGGGATGGGAGAGGGTGGAGACATGAATGTTGAATCAACTTATCTAAAAGTTTAAGCCGATAGAAAGAGGACATATTCAACCCACTTCGTGTGTGAGACGGGGGTGTGATGTTAAGGGATAAAATCTCACATCGAATAAAGATGAAAACATAGACCAATTTATAAAAGTTTTGGGCTACTCCTCTTAATAAAGTTGACATTTTAAGATGGAATCTCAAATCTTAACATGGTATCAGAGCCCATTAAACTCCAATGAGCAATTCGATCCGATTAAGACTCAAAAAAATTGAGCACACGGATTTCAAGATTGGTCTGCTCAAACAAGCCACCATCTTGAGGGGGCATGTTAAGGAAGTAGCTCAAACTCTTATAAATTGGTCTATGTTCTCATCTTTATTCGACGTGAGATTTTATCCCTAAACACATAGGGGGTGAGTTTCAGCAAGATTTGAACCTAGGTCTTTTGGGTAGCTCTAGTACCATATTCAACCACCTTATCTAAAAGTTCATACTTTTGAAGAGAATACATATTATATATTTAAATTACATGTTCAATGATAGGAATACCTCAGTTTCAGTCACTACAAAATCTTCAGCGTGCGCCAAACAGGGATTTCCATATGTCTCCGAGGACGAACTTGATCCACTCAGTCTTGAAGGGGGTGGGATAAGAAATAAGGACACAGTATTTCCATTTATTGGATAAATAGGTACATATGTTAGAATAAATACTATAGAAACTAAACGATAAAGGAAGTTGAAAACTTACAGATCTCCATCCAAATAGAGCGCAAAGTGACCACCCCCACCCAAGGCTAAATAATCCGTAGAGCACAAAGTAAAATAGCGGTTCACACCTGTTAATAAGTAGGTTACAATATAAAATATGACAAATATATTCAAATCTATTAACCCGAGGTCCTGAACTCCTGCTAGGCATTACAGAAGGTAGAAAATTTTCCAAGAGAATAAAAGAATAGATTAGATATATTTAGACTAAATACAGAATCCTTCAAAACCAAAAGTTCTAACACAGTGCACTTACGCATCACTGCCTTTTATTTTTAATCTAATTGATAGGCCAATTATATATCATGTCATAATAAACCACTGGAACAACTTCCACTTATCTAAGGATGGGCATTGTGCAATAATAGTTTAAGTTATTCTTCAAACAATTGCAGTTTTACTAAGTCGAAAAACTTTGAAGTCATTGTAAAAGTTAATTTTTATAAAGCATTGCATATAAAAAATGCAGCAGACACCCTTGTGATCATGCACTTGCAGGCTATTTACACATTTTAACTTGACAGAAGAAAAAAAGAAAAAGTTGGATTCATTAAAATATGGAAGAATAGAGATAGACCCAGTCAAAAAAGTAAAATAAAAACACAATACTGTGAAGGCAAATGATCAGAGAAAGAAGAATTAATACCTGTGGGACGAAATATACGAGGATGGCCAGATATATTTGTGAAAACAAATGTATCATTCGTTCCCTGGTTTTCATTCACTGTTAATTTGAATGGAAAAATAACATAGCATGTAATAACATACTAAAAAAATACATCATTACCTGATACTTCTTATTTGATGGTCTCAAGGGTGCCTCAACCAAGCCACCAAAAACTGTGCCATTACGGTCCCCAACAACCTAAAAGATAAATAAACTAATAAGGGATACAGAGAGAGAGGGGGGCATTTGGTAAGTCTCATTTCAGTATATATAAATGCACATGTGATAGCCAAAGAGCCTGAACTATAAAATTAAAATGGACAAACAAAACATTGATTCTTGATTGATGACATGTTTTCTCAACTGTCAACTTAGTCTGGCAGATACAAATCACATCATTAAGAATACCCTTCAACCGTGCCCTGGAATCATCATTCTTATTCCAGATTAAAGAGAGAAGAAATGAGACATAGGATCTACAATACTCAAAGAATTTCACATCTTAAACATGAAATACAGGTTACGTATACGACAAATCATGATGGATGTTAAGATAGCACTTATCAGTCTAGAATAGCTGCATAAATAAGTAATTAAGTAAGCTCACTGTAATGTATGATATCATTCACACTACAATATGATGAATTTATGTTACTCTTTCAATTGTCACAATCACAAGGATCACACTTTGGAAACAGCGATCAAAATGAGAACCCTTTATCACAGAGACAAAAACTGATATCATACTTGGAGGAGAAGCCATCTACAATAGGAAGCACATCATGAAGTATAATCTTTTGGTTGAAATATTTATATTTGGTATCAGGGCAAAAAAAATTACACTTTTACAGCATTCCCATTTGTGGCATCATGAGTTTGGGCATACCAAGAAAATACAAATTTCTGATCATTATACCATCATCCATCTAGAGTTTCTGGACTATTTAGAAATAAGCATTTTAAGAAAGAAAAAAGTTCTGAGAAAGATTATTAAAATAAAGAAAGGAGTAATTAGCATAAAATTGCAATAAATAAATATAATATTTCAGCACTAGTCTAAAATTCAATATAAAATTTGGGTTATACATTGAAAGGAAATAATGAAAAATAGATTACTCATGATGAAAGGAAAAAGAGAGCTTGATTCTCAGGAGACTTAGAGCTGGTCATGAAACTGGTTTCACAAGCATAATAGCCATAGAAATTGTAGTTTAAGGTTGTCAAAATAGTGAAAAAGTATATGTAGGCCCACAAGTTAGAAATGTTACCAGCAGACTGAGGCCAGGCCAAATCATGCTTCTCCTGTACAATGTCGAAAGTGATATACCATGCCTCCAAGTACTGAGAGATCAAAGCAAGGAATTAAAGTCTATGTTTGAAGATAGCATGTAAAGGAAACTCAAACAAAAAGCACATGCAAACGATCCACACAAGAAAGGAAATTGACATGTTTCTTCACCTGTATAACAATACCCATTTCAGTCCCTGGACGGTCACTGGGAGTGCAGCATAAAGAACACTGCGAGTTTTCTCAGAGAGAAGCAACGAAGGTTCAGAAGTCTCCGGAAGATTGTCCAAAGGCAATGTCTCTTTTGAAGTTTTCATTTGAATATCCTCATCTTGGGAAGCCTTAGAATTACTTCCATCATCAGTTACCATAACAGAACTGCCTTTGGGGCCTTGGTTTCGAAAGCCACTTAATTTAGCTGCTTGATAGAAAGCTCTGCCAAGTGATTGTTTACCCCTCGAAAACAAACTCTTCTTCCTGCCATTTTCTTTCGTTGTTGGTTCAGATGATGGTTTAAACTGATCCTCGAGAGACATGTTTTCTCCATCAAACTTAGAATTAGTCTGAGATTCTGAGGATGCTACTAAAGAATATAAAAAGGCAGTAAAAGAAGATGTATCAGGACCATCAACAGAGTCCCCAGAGCCGTCCTTCGAGCCTGATTCTAGCTGACTACATTCATTCTTCTCTTCCTGTCAAAACCAAAAGCAAATGCTAATTAGCATTAGAATTAATGGATGTGATAAGATACAAAAGAAAAGAGACATAATGGATCCAAGATTTTTAAGTTCAAAAAGATGAAGTTTCTTCTTTCACCCAATATAACAAGTGGAGTCAATCGGTTAAGAGACTGCACCACTTCAAATTAAAATTTTATCTTCAAATTTCATCCTATTATTTTTTCCTGCTTCTTTTCCCTTGTCTTTTCTCATGTCTCTACTTTTGTTCCTTTTTCTTTTGATCCATACTCGTTCACACCTAGTGCACCCTCTAATTACAGCATTGATTTTCATAGTAAGCACAAAACTAGGCAAATGGCATGAGTAATTATCTAATTCTAGTGCAACAGTTAACCAGCCTGAGATAGGCACCAATGAAACTTGATTCCTAATAAATATAAGACCATATTATCGCACCATTCCTAAGCATGCTTGCAGAAAAAAAAAAATCCCTACAATCATGGCAATAATTTCAAAATCACAACTCCAAAATAATCAAATTGGCAAAAAAAATTCCCTCACAAATATAACCATTTAAAACGAAGGCACCATTAAAATCTAACCCTAAACCTGAAGAACTGATACTCGGAACACCAACATAAGCATATGTTAAGAATTACAAAACCTAATTCTATTCCACTGAAAGCAATCAATTCAGAGAAAGAAAAACAAACACTCAAGACAAACAAGATTTATGGATGTTCGCTTCAACGTGAGACTACATATTGTTCCAATGCTGCAGTAATTCACTATCATGAAAGAAAAAAAAAAAGGTTTACCAGATAAAATTGAACTCCTATCTTCTCTAGCCACTCTTTCTCTCTTTTTTAGGATAATAATAAAGCCTAATTCAAAATCCCTTAATTCTAGTCAAACAGCACATAATTCAACGTGGGTATTCAAGAATTTAGCCAGATAATGATAAACCGATCATCAAACATATTAGCACAATAAGGAACCTCAAATAAAAGATCATTACATCAACAAACAAAAAAGTCCTATATAATAAAGAAACAGATAAAGGTATCAGAAATTACAAGTGGAGGAGGTGACTTTGAGGGTTTTTCAGAAATGGGATTGAGATAAACAGTAGTTAGATCAGATAAAAAGTGGGCTGCTTTACTCCTCAATGAATTCTTGCGCTGCTTTTGCTCTTCTTCTTTTTCTTGATGCTCCTTGCCCATTTCTACTACTGATATACCTATCTATTTCTTGATTAATTATGCTACGATCATACGATTTCCACTATCTTTAAGAGTTTGGAACATATTCAGCAATATAAACAGACAATCAAAGCTAGATAAAGCCCCAGAATCAATCCTATTCTCTTTCATTCCATTTTTTTTCCCTTGATAACAACTACAGGTGGGATTAGGAAGAAGGGTGCGTTCTAAGTGACCCCATATTTTTTCTTTATTATTTACATTAGATAGATTATTCTACAGCTTCTTTTTTTTTACGGGAAAGGAAGAGTCAAAAAGTACTTTTCCTCTTTTTTTTTTTTTTGAAACCCAATAATATTTTTTCTGTTCTTAAAAAGATTGGAAATTTTCAATATTGCGTGGACAAAATTGTTTCGTTTGGTCTTTGACTCTTTCAATATTAGCTTTTCATTTTTCTTTCAGAAAATTACGGCTTTGATCCTCATCAATGGTTTCTGTTGCAAATTTGCCTTCTAACTTTTAACAAGTATTTTTTTTCTGAATGTGTATTGTACTAGTAGTTTTAATAGACAGTTTTGGCCTATGTTTGATCGTAATTATTTTCAAAATACATTTTTTCAATCCTTTTTCAACTATACATTTTTCAATAAAATAATATTACACGTAAATTCAAAATTTTTCCTTATTTTTTAACAACACATTCTCCATCAATCTACTATTCAAAAATGTAATCTTTGCCAAATAATGGGGGCTCAAACCAGGGTCTACAAATTCAATAAAAAGTTAAATAAGAGAAAAAATAATCGTCTCAGTTTCCGCGTTCGATTACTCCAATCCCCCCCCACCCCGCCCCGCCCCTCGCATACTACTAATAGGGGTCACTGATTGTGGTTAGGGAAAGTTACAAGGGTATTGTGTGTAAGACCAATATTATTAATAAATTAATTAAAGTAGTTTATTATAGTTAAAATTCTGCTGGCCCATTGAAAAGTTTGATGGAAAGTGAGTAGTTTTTTATGGTTCATGAAATTGCCTCCCTCTATCTATAAATGTGAATGGAACCCGTCAAATTAAAATATTCAATTGAAGCGAGGAAAAGAGACATAACAATTTCTTGATTTTACAAGTTTCTCTTTTGTAGGTTTAAATATTTCAATTATTGTTATAGATCAATGTATGTTTCTTGATGAATTAAATCTGTATTTGAAAGTCATGAATTCTAAAGATTTTGATATTAATGTTAATTAATTGCTTACATGTGGTATCATATCCAATGCTAAAGAATTCTTGATTTTCCTTTAAAGATTATTATTTTCCGTTTATTGATCCTTCATTTTTGTTATCGATTTATGGAACAAAATTCATTTGACTTCAATTACGGTTCCGTCCAAATGCTATTAAGCTCATGTTTGGTTCGGATTAAAATCTGACTTTAATCCAAGTCAAAATCAAACAATCAATATTAACCACATCTTTCATAAATCCCAAAACTTTTCAACCACACATTTCAAAAACTTCTACCACAATCTATTAAAAAATCTAATTTTAATTTCCACTAAACACCTTCTAATTGTTTTCGAAATCGGGTCATTTCCTGTTGAATCGTGAAATCAAGCCCAAATACTATTATTATAATAGGAGTAATGGTGTTTTGTTAACAAATCTGTAACATTCACGCATTTCAGTTAATATAGGTTTCACACCATTAAATCAGATGATTATTATTATTATTATTCATGTAAAAGAAAAGAGACTTAAACATGTGTGAGAAGGGAAATAATGATTAGCAATTTAGTACAGTGAAAAGCAATGTTTTGAAAATCGACCTGAAAATTGACCCCAAAAAAAGAGAGAGTCAAGGGTCAAAAGTTGAATCGGATCGAACCGGAAATAATATTGTGAAAGTACAAAAAATTAAAACTTTTTTTTGACTTACTGAAAGTCCACGCCTGACATGAATGACTACACATGGACTTGGGTGACTATTGTTACGGGTCATAATATAGAAGCGACATGTGGCACTATATTTCAGTGGTGGGACCAGTTTACTTAGGCCAGGGTATGTTCTCTTAGCCTCCGACGTGGATTCCGAGGTCCTGGCTATTGTTCGAGGCCCTCAAGACAGGTCATATGCCTTCACTGCCATCTCAGGCCCAAGCCTCGCGAGAAAGAAGGCCACATAGAAAGATATTGCAATGATGAAAGATCCGAGTGAATGATTGACGTGACTTTTATATTAAGTAAANAAGACAGGTCATATGCCTTCACTGCCATCTCAGGCCCAAGCCTCGCGTGGAAGTAGACCACATGGAAAGATATTGCAATGATGGAAGATCCATGTGAATGATTGACGTGACTTTTGTATAAAGTAAACTCTGTCTTGTCTAATCAATGTAAGAATATTTAATGCTTTGTAAGGCTAGGAGAGTCAACTTGGTGACTAGGATTTGATGTCTTGGTCGAGGAGACGAGGCCACGTGTAAATTGATTCAAATGTCATTATTCGACTTGTAATACTATAAATACTCCAACATGTAACACAAAAAAGGTAATGAAACTTATCATACCAAATCCTAAATGAAAAACTAAACACTTGGAAATATATTGCTCTCTTTATTACGAAAATTACAACTACAAATATTGTTCTTTATCGATTAGATTCTTATACAATCGTGTTCTATATATCTTGTTGGAGACCCGAACGTTGACGTCTCGTGTAGTGAGCTCCTCCCACGTCCAGATTTGGAGCCTTCCTGACCGTTCATCGGTACACACATGTTGGACAAGGCTTACACGTGCACGAGTGGGCCCGGCATCTGTTGGCAACATTTTTTGGGGTTAACAAATATAATTAAATAAAAAAATTGTATATTAATATATATCCCCTTAGAATTTTATATTAAGTAAAAGAGTATTTTTAATATTTATTATTTAACTGCTAGTAATTATTTTAATAACCATTTCACATGAAATTAACATTAAATAGGCCAGTGTACAGACTTAATATAAAATAAAAACTAAGTGTCTGTTTGGTAGGGATTTTTTAGGGAAGAATTGATTTTTGAATAGTGATATGATGGGAAATGTGTGGTTGAAAAAGAAGAAAAAATTATTGATGTGATGGAAAATATTAATTTATTGAAGGATGTGTGGTTGAAAATGAGAATTGATTTGA